TCTCTTTAATTTTAAATTTTAATATTATATTATATTTTTAAAATTATTTTTATTTGGCCCACGGGCCGGCCCTACCTATATTTCTCAAGCCCCACAAATCAGCAGGCTTATTCAGGCCGGGCTAAAAAACCCTTTTCTTAAATGGGCTCCAAAAATCTTAGCCCAGCCCTATTAAATCCCGGGTTAGGCCAGGCCGGCCCAACGGGCCTAGCCCATATTGACGGCTCTAAATTCACATCTACAAAACTTAGATGCAAAAATTGTTCTTGAAATGATTGAACGCGTAAAAAGTGAAATTCATCAAGAACACATCTTTTATCCAAAAAAAACATTGTCATCAATGGGAGACAATTGTTCAACCCCGAAACAAAAAATGTTGAGGTGTCTGCAAGTTGTCCCAGACACCACCTCATAGAAAATGATGTGATCACACAAATTAAATACTACTAGATACTCCATGCTTCTTTCACTTCTATATTATTCCAAATCCATGCCTCTTTTGCATTAAAGATGAAATAATTTTTTCTCACATTTTTACATTATTTTTACTATACATGGAGCATGCTTGATATTATGGTTTGTTTAGCTTTAAGTCACAATTGGCACTAAGTGTATGATGTCTTTAATAATAGTTTCCAAAAGAGATCTGCACATTTGCCCCTTCTTAGTTAAAATTACTGCTGTTAAAGGCACATAATAAACTAAATTATAGTATAAAGAATTCTTACACAGTTTTTTCCAGTTATATTATATTAATAACTAGTCGTGATTATCGAGCAATATGTAGTATAGAGAGTTACTTCTAATTGTCCTTGAAGTGATTTGATTATGTAAATATCCCTAACAGAAGAAGGTAATGAATCAAATGTACGAAGGAGAGGAAAAAAGACGCGGAAGATATATATATTTTCAAGCTTGCAAACAGAAAGCAAAATAGTACTGCAACAAACACATACATAATTTTCAAAACACACAAAACCATAATCACTTAAAAAAAAGTAGAACCACTCAAATATGAAATCACAAAATGAGGGAAATGCAACACTCTAAAGCACAAACAATACATGACTCCAAGTAGTACTATACAACGACGACTTTACTATAGAAACCAGGAATTAACTTCATATTTCCAAAAATGTGTTCTTGATTTTGTTAAGCCTCTTGACTACATCCTTCATGGTTAACCTTGACTCTGGCCTTTCCTTTGCGCAATCTAAAGCCAATTCTATCAAGGAAATTATGCAGATTTCACTTTTAGAAGTGATTTGTTCTTCCTCAGGAAAAAGATTGGCATCCACAACTTCTATGATAGTTTTTGGAAATGCTCGCCTTATCCACTCCCTCAAGCCAAGATTTTCGTTGAATATCTCTGCATCAGTTGGTCTTCTTGTTGCCAAAACCTCCATTAGCATGATACCATAGCTGTAGACATCGCCACTAGTGGACACTATTCCTTCCAAGCCATATTCTTAAAAGAACAAAAGATGAAAAAAAATTATTCATCCAATATAACAACAAAACAAACAAACACTTGCTTTTTGTTTAGATTTTGGAAGGGCTTAGTTATAATTTGTGTAGTAAAAAAGAAAGAGACTAGTATACCTGGTGCAATATATCCGAGAGTGCCCAATGTCTCGGTAGATGCCATGGACTTGCTTACAGCTAAGATTTTGGAAATTCCAAAATCACCAACATGTGCCACCATTTCTTCATCCAAAAGAACGTTGGCTGGCTTTAGATCGCAATGAACAATATGAGTGTGATGTCTGTGATGCATATATTCAACAGCCACAGCCACATCAAACATTATGGAAACCCTTTGAAGAAGGTTCAAGTGGCAATCTTCTTTGTACAACCAATTCTCAAGACTCCCGTTTGGCATATACTGCAGGACAAAAGCTCTAATGTATTCGCTAGAGCAAGTAGTAATCACCGATACAAGATTTCTGTGCCTAACATTTCTCATCACTTCACATTCAGTATCAAACCTCTTGCATACTTCCTCATTTTGCAAATCTAGAACCTTTATTGCAACCACAACTCCGCTAGATAATGTACCTTTGTACACAGAGCCAGAACCTCCCACAGCAATTAAGTTTGATCCATCAAAATAATTTGTAGCTCTTTGAATCTCGTGATAAGATACTAATTGATGTGTCTTGACCTCCGGTACCTTTTCCACGTCTTTGGAATTTCCCTTCTTTTGTCGTTTCATCATCCAAATTGAAGCAAACAAGGATATTAGAAAGGATGAAGTAACCACTGGAATAGCAATTTTTAGCACAAGCTTCTTAAACTTTGATTGATGTCCAAGATTAGTGACAGCACAAGCAGGAACATCCAATATGTGCATTCCACATAGGCCTTTGTTACCAAGAAATGATTGCAAAGTGGAATTTGCAAACACACCACCACTAGGTATTACACCTTCTAATTCATTAAATGAAACATTGATGGCTTTAAGGTACAAGAGTTTTTCCAAAGACTTAGGAATAGTACCTGCCAAGGCATTTAAAGACAAATCCATGAATTCTAAGCTTATCAAGTTGGCAAAGGATAATGGAATTTGGCCTGAAAATGAATTGTTTGACAGGTCAAGAGACTCCAGGGTTTGGAGTTCCCCCAAACTGTTTGGTATCATGCCCGAAAGGCGGTTACTAGAAAGATATAGATCTACAATTGCTTTCAGTTCTCCAATATCCAGTGGAACTTCTCCCTCTATAGAATTTTGTGACACGTCTAGGTGGAGAAGGCCACTCATCTTCCAAAGACTCAAAGGAAGCTTTGATGCAAAATTGTTATAACTCAATGAAAGATATTGTAGCATGCTAAAATTTCCTATACATGCTGGAATTAACCCAAAGAGCTCATTATCATCTAGAGCTAATTGAACCAAATTAGATAAACGACATACCACCTCTGGAATATGTCCCTGCAATTTATTGTTATTTAGATATAGTCCTTGTAGTTGTTTAAGCTTACCAATCTCAGAAGGGAAACCTCCCACCAAGTTGTTTCCATGAAGGCTTAGAGATATTAGACCGCTCATGTTGCCTATACCTGTGGGGATGGGGCCATTGATGTATGCATCTATTATTGCAAAGAATTCAATAGTAGATGAAAGATTTCCGATAGTATTGAGCAGAGTACCATTCAACATATTGGTACTCATATCTAGATCTCGCAACATCCTACAGTTCGCCAAAGAACTGAAGAATAGCAACTCATGCTCTCTTGGTTCATTGGTAAGTTGATTATGATCTAGGTGCAGCAGTTGCAGCTCACGAAGATTTCCCAAATTAGTTGGAATACTGCCACTGAAAAAGTTACTATTTAGCTCCAATGTCTTAAGTTTGGAAGCATTTGTGATGTGCGGAGGAATTTCCCCTTCGAGATGATTTTTAGACAAGTAAAGTCTTTCAAGGTTCGGAAGATGAAGACCTGTAGTGGCTGGAATTCTACCCGAGAGGTTGTTGAGATTGAAAGCAATCATTTCCAAAGAGGACATGTTAAAAATAGCCTTCGGAATTTGACCAATAATATTATAATTCTGGCCAAGGTTTAATTGCCTCAAATTTGACAGCTTCTCTAATTCTGGAGGAACTTGCCCCCCTATGCAATTGTTTGGACAATCCAGATATTCAAGAGTAGATATATTTCCCAATGAAGCAGGAAAAGTCCCACTTAGTGCGTTACCTCCGATATAGAACACCTCGAGCTTAGCTAAACAACCAATATTTTTGGGTATATCTCCAGTTATCTTGTTGAAAGATATGGACAACACTTTGAGCTCTTTGAGTTGGCAAATATTGGAAGGAATGATACCAGAAATTTGGTTCTTAGATATACTTAGATGCTTCAGATTTGACACAATATTCCCTTCATCAAGCAAGAGAGGACCAGAAAGGTTATTGATTTTCAGAGATGCAATAAGTAGCGACGAGATATTAAACAGTGTTGCAGGAATGGAACCTGTTAATTGATTATCTCCCAAGGACAACTCTGCAAGTTGGCTAAGATTACCAATCTCCTTCGGAATGTTGCCATTGATTCTATTACCGTACAAACTGAAGTTCCTCAACTTTGTGGAATTTCCAATAGAAGGCGGGATTATGCCTGTGAGACTATTGTTGGTGAGATACAAGACCTTGAGTTCTGGTACATACCATGAACCATTCCACATTTCACCACTGCGTTTATTGAAAGCCAATGAAATCTTTTGAACTTTCTGGTGTTGAAATAGGCTTGTTGGAATACTTCCTTGGAGCTGATTGTTTTGAATATCAATCACTCGCAAGCGAGGCAAGTGGCCAATGCCATAAGGGATGGCGCCATGAAAGTTGTTGTTCCCAAGATTAAGCTCTCTGAGAAAGGACAAATTAGCCAAAGACGGGGAAATTGTACCTCGAAGATTCAAACTAGAAAGATCCAAGGCTACAACCCTTTGCCTTTTTGGACTGCAACTGACACCAAACCAAGAGCAAAAAGAAGTATTGTTGGTCCAATTGTTGGCCAAAAAATGAGTAGGACTTGTAATAAGATTTTGGAAAGCTAGTAAAGCTTCTTTGTCTGTCACATTTGAGTTAGCAAATGATACAGAAAATTGAACTAGAAAGAGAAGAATCAATAAGAAAATGTGCTTCTCCATGCTGTTACTATGCTTCAAAAAGGAATTTGGACAGTGAGATATGTATGTGTGGTATTTTGACAGATCAAAGTTACACCATTATATAGCACCAAAACAAATAAAATGCTGAAAAGAATAGACTATAATTTCCAAAATGTGAAAACAGATTAATACTGAGGAGGAAAATAAGTAGTAATAAGGGGTGTGTTAAGCATGGAGGATGTTAAATTAGGTCTTAGGCCTAACTCACACCCCAAAAGCTAGCTCAAAGGGATGAGGATTGCCCAAGCCTTATAAGGAGTCCACCCATCTCATTAACCACCGATGTGGGACTTTTGTCATTCTTTAACAGAGGACAACATTTTCCACAATATATTTTCTATTTTCTCATGTCTAGTCCGTCAAAATATTTTTGCTAGGAAAACAAGTTTTGAGTGACTTTTCAAGTTTATTGTCTCCTCCCCACTCACTATCGAGATGCGAAAGAATCCATATTCCCTATCTCGTATTCTCTACCCCTAAATTAGCCTAATTAGATTCAATTCAACCGTCCAACCGTCAACCCCCAACCCTTGACCATCTCACCCCGCTAGCCGGAACCTCACTCCCTATCCCACATTCCACCTATTATGACATAATACATAAACGTGCCTTTTAACTTGGCCTCAACTTACATTTGTGCTCTCCAACTTTGGATGTGCACAAGTAGGCAATTAAACTTTTATAAAGTTGAACAAGACGTCATGTAGGACCACAATTTTTCATGTAGGACGTCAGGTAGGACATGTGTGTCTACTTATTCAATTATATACAAATTCAACTACATACTTGTGCACACCCAAAGTTGAAGGGTATAGATGCCAGTTGATGCCAAATTAAAGGGTATTTTTATGTATTATGTCCCCATAATATTTTGCTTGATTAACTTACAAATTATCTTGAGATAACAGTTTTTTGCTTATTTACCAAATACTAAAAAATAAGTAAGAAATCCACTTGTTTTTTCTAGAAAATATTTTCTAAGAAAACATTTTCCTTCCTATCAAAAACACCCAAGATTAATGTGAAAACAGATTAATACCGAGGAAAACAGAAAAAAGAATCTGTCCATTTTTCCTTCATAGTTGACATTAGTTGGGCTGTGTATCACAAAATGGGCTAAAAGTCAGCTATTAATTTTCTTTATATTGTTAAGGGCCAAGTCAATAGGAGTCAATCTTTCAAGTCAAGCTTATAAGGCTATGTTACACAAAACAGAGAAAATATTCTCAAACTTATTTGGCACTTAGGCGTAGTTATTATAGGGTTGTTAAAATAAATTATTTTTTCTTTTTTCTTTCTTTTAGTATACTCAGCTAAAAACACACCGGACACCAGTGGAAAACAAAACAAAAAAAAAAGATCATATTTTTGTAGCATAGTTTGGTCTTATAGAAACATCAAAGAAGAAATAACGGCAAAATACATAGATAGACACTTAAACTTGGTCTTAACTGTTAGTTGAGCATTCCAACTTATCAAATGATCATATAGACACCTCAACTTGACCCCAAAAATGTCTCACAGACACCCGAAGCTAGCTGTCCAGATGCGTGCATTTCAATCGCCAATCATGCGTCAAATGAATGAATTCCGATGTGATTGACAAGCAGCGGGGCATGGAACGGAGGTTGAATCAATCATCAGAAGAAGAATTAGGCCAAAAATTAGGATACATTCAGGGAAAATTAAACTTCCATCGAAGAGAAGCAAACGAAAGGCTAATGACACATGTCTAATACGAGAAAAGAGATCTTTTTCCTTATTTTAACCATAATTCCATAACAGCAACCCAACCTCCATTCTTCGTCTCCTCCCCGCTCATTTTCAACCCGACCCTGGATTTTCCATCACCATGTAATTGCACCCTCACCGTGTCGGCCATCTACAAAATCACCATCAGCACTGCTTCCATGTGATTGAGCTTCATTTTCAAAGCAATCTGTTTCATCACTTCGTATTTTCAAATTTTATAACACAATTTAGCTTTTGTACCGCCTGAAAGATTTTATCTTTTTTTCTCAAATATAGGAGAAGATGTAAATGCGTAGATGAGTTAATATATTCGATCGATTAGAACACCCTACTACCAAGTTGGAGTGCTTTAAGTGTCTATCTATGTATTCTGCCACAAAATAACTGTAGAATTTCAAGCTGTGTCTAACTGTCTATAAACAAAAGCATTTGCTTCATTGGTAGCCTGCTTTAAGACGTCTCTCAGTCTGCAGTTTTCTTCCCTTGCTGCTTTAGTTGTTTGTCCCGCTGATTTAAGGGACTCGTTGAGCTTAGTAGCTCGTCCCATTTCTTCAGCTTCGCTTATACACGCGATGAGGCTTGTCTCTTTCCCATTCCAAGCCAATAGTGACTCCTCTGTCTCTAGTTTCAATCTCTGATCTGCTATATTCCTGTGTAGTTTTGTTTCCTTTTTCGCTTTATCCAAAAACATTTTATTTCTGGCCTTAGTACTTTTGATCATCTCTTTCATATTTGCAGCCTCTTTTTTCACTAAGTTTCTCTTCCATCTCAGATTCTTCGGAAGCAACTTCCTTCAACGCTAATGCTAAATCATTTAAGGCCTTTGTGCTCTTTTCGTTCGCCTCCTTTGCCAACTTCATTTCATTTTTTAGCAAACTCATCTCATTATCCAAAGCTGTGGCTCCTCATTTCAACAATGATTAAGATAACTGCCATTTTGCTTGGAACATGTGTCCAAGATTCAATCTTTTCATGACGAGAAGCAATCTCGAGCTTGAATTCTTCGAGTTCAATTTTGATTCGCTTAAACTGCATAGTTTTTTTTTTACTCTGATAACTTCCTGTTCTCCAATTCATCTTCTAATTCTTGAATTCACCTAAAATCAGAAAACCAATACGTCGCGCGAATCTTGAATTCTTTTACATGACTAAGTCCCTGTTTTCACTTTTCCTAAACTAGGATCTTTCTTTATCAACTTGAGATCACATTTTTTCGCCTTTTCGAGCTCCAATTTCAAGGAGTTGATACTCTTATCTTTATCCCCAAAGCTAGCTCACGAGAGAAGAATTGTCCAAGTCCAGAGACCACCCATCTCATTAACCATCGATGTAGACCCCCAAATTAAAAGTTGTCCACGCACCAGATGTTCAACATTGGGCGTGAGATGGGGTCCCTGGGCTTGAGGTGGGCTGTTGAAGAATGAATAAAGGTCCATATTGATGATTACTGAGATGAGTGATCTCTTTATAAGACTTGAACAATCAATCTCCCTCATGAGCTAACTTTTGAAGGCGTAAATTAGTTCCAAGACCTAATATTACTCAAACAGAATTATTATGTGGAGATTACAAACTAAAAGATAAACTAGAATGAGTATCATTTTTATCGTTTCAGTTTTATCGGATGTCCTATAAAAGGGTTAAGAAAATCATAATCCATAAATTAAGGAGATAAGCTTCTAGAGAGATAAAAGTGTGACACAAATGAAATCTTAATTCTTTTCCATCCTACACAACTCAATAAACTCAAGGTACAAAAACATAATTTTTGTACCATTGACTCATAAACACAAATTCTTTTCCCACTACCAAAGCATTTTTTGCACCTTTTTTAAAACAACAGTTTTTCTTATATTATATAGATTTTTTTTTCTTATATATATATATATAACTTCTTCATTGAAAGCTACCCCCGCCACCCTTCATCTTCTTAAACATTTTTATCAAAATTTCTACCTATATCTTTATCCTCTCATCATTCATATCTGATTTTGATCTTCAGAAAATTAAATTTATCTTTCAGCTATTTCTATCATATATCATATATTTATTTCATTCCCAGGATTGATTGATTGTTTTTTATCGCTCGCCTTCATATCGATTATCCTTAACATACATTGACCTTTTATCTTCATTTCTACACATACAAAATCTGAAAAGACCCATATGGTCAAAATATCATCATGTCTATTTGAAAATACCAGGTGGTCAAGACATCTTCATTTCTACACATACGAGATTTGAAAAGACCAGGTGGTCAAGAGATCTTCATTTCTACACATACGAGATCTAAAAATACCAGGTGGTCAAGAGATCTTAATTCCTCGGTCCCTTTGGATCATTGATATATTATTGTTAAGAAATAACCCCTTAATTAGAGAGAATTTTTTACTTTATGATGGATCATCATCATCACCATCATAGGGAAAATGAATTTGAATATCAAGAAATCCAGAAAGCAAAGACATCATCAAAATTCAATAGATCAAGGACTATACACAGCCCGAGAAACTCGATTGAATTCCCCGAAAAGCCCTTGTATGTCTATCCTTCTCCTCATTCGATTGAACGTAATGGCTCCATTAAAAAGCTCCATTGTTCACCTTTAGGATCCATGGTTGGAACTTCATTCAAAGGAAAAGTGAAAAAGTTGTATTCAATTTTCGACTCTCGTAAGGAAAATCATCGATCCTCGATTCCAAAACCTCAAACCAAGCATTCAAAGCCATTGATTTCGAACACTCTGTTATTGCCTGGAACAGAGGATCGTGTGGTAATTTACTTCACGAGTATACGTGGAATTCGAAGGACATTCGAGGATTGTTACACAATGAAAATGATATTAGGAAGCTATCGCGTTAAAGTCGATGAAAGAGATGTCTCGATGCACATTGCATATAGGAAGGAATTACAAAATGTTATAGGTGAGAAGAACAACAATAATATTGTGACATTGCCACAAGTTTTTATCAAAGGGAAATACATTGGAGGTGCTGAATTGATCAAGCAATTGAACGAAATTGGCGAATTACCGAAGTTATTAAGAGGGATTCCTTTAAGGCCAATTGGTTATATTTGTGAAGTTTGTGGGGATGTACGATTCTTGCCTTGCTCGAATTGCGATGGCAGCAGGAAATTTTTCGACGAAGATGAAGGACAAGTTAGGAGGTGTCTTATTTGTAATGAGAATGGATTGATTCGATGCACACTTTGTTGTTCTTGATCTACATAAATTTGTGAGATGTATTTATAACATGTTCGTTGTCGCCTTATAGTGTTTTAGTTGGTGAGGCAAAGACGAATTCAGAATTTTAAATGAGTGAGGTAAATGTAACTCTTTTGTATCAACAGGTGGTGTTTAATTAATATAAACTATCTATTACTATATATTTTGAAATTTTATGGTTGTGTAGAATGTAGATAGTGTGCAATGTAGTTTCCTGATCTTGATATCTTTGAAAGTTTGAAGTAAAGGAAAAGGTTTTTATCTACGGGAAAAAGTTCAAAATTGCTCCTGAACAATATGAAATAGAACAGTTTTCTTCTTCATTAATAGTTGGGGTTAGGTGTGTTCGCCATTACAAAAGTGGCGTTTTTGTCTATATTTTCAAAATCCAGCAAACGGAATCATTACAACCCTTCATCTAGTTGTATGATACCCTGAGTGTTCGTGCCTGACGATCAACAAATTTTTGCATAGAGTTATCTTATTTATGAATACTTAGCGACTAGAAAGATGTTATTCTTTAACATTTGTATTCACAATCTCCGACTTGCAAAATATAGAGCATCAAAATAGAACCCTAAAATCACAAATATTTATAAATCCGGACATGATTGAAAGTGTCACGAAGCCAAAATGGATACAAATCGGATTTGGACATAGCATTTTGTCAAGAAAATTTGTTGTGTTATCATAATATTAACCGATATCATTCTTTTAACTAACTGAAGAAGAGTTTGCAAATTGATAAAATCTGGTGGACAATTTTCCAATCTCCAAGGAAAAACGCTCAAATCTTCTATCAGAAAAATTCTCAATTCTCCTTTTGGACATCAGCTCTCACATGAAACTAAGGGATCCTAACCCATATTGTATAAACACAAACTTATGGAGGAGAGAAAATTTACCACAATCCTAACGTAGTGACTTAATACATAAATAAACATTCAAACTTGACCTCAACTAACAAATTAACTCCCGACTTATCTAAACGATGGCAATTTTTTAGATAGGAAAAGTGAACAATTTTTTTTCTTTAATAAGTAGTTATTGATAGTTCAAATAGGAAAAAAATAAACAATTGATATATATATAGTTGACATGTGTTTTGATAAATAGTTATTAATAGTTCAGATATCAAACTCAAAAAGTCGAAATAGATTAGGAGTGCTCAAAGAAAAGCTAGGTTTTCCCAAACAGAGCTTTGCTAGGGTATTTTCATGGAAGCCATGAGAGTACCTTGGTCCGATCTTCCGAGAGAACTTGTGGAACGAATCAGCAAATTCCTCAACAGCAATATTGACATCCTCCGCATTCGTGCAGTCTGCAGTTCAGCAATGCCTCCCAATTTCGAAAACTTCCCTTCTTTGCCTCTCATCAAACTGCCTATCCCCAATATGAACCATGGTTATCATAAAGAATCTGTATTTTAATTAATCGGAAGCACCGTTTATCTTTTCCAACTTCCTCACATAGGCTGGTTGGTGAAGATTGTAAAAACCCTAGACGGAAAATTACAGATTTTGAATCCTCTAACCGAAACAGAAATAGAGGATTTTCCTGATAATATGCCTAAGAAATTGAATTTTACTTGATTTTCGTGTTTCTCAAGTTTCTAAATCCTATCACCTGCAATGGGTAATAAACTTTCAGGAACTTGTATATGATGTAGGGCATTTATTTAGTAAAATCTCGCTTATTTGGAGTGATCAAACCAATCATTTTTCTGTAACGGCAATCCCTCCTCGTTTAACGAGACCAAGGTATCTTCCAGCATAAAGATGTTAGCTTCGAGCATATTTAACGGATGGGGTAGTAAGAAAAGACTGGTGGAATCAGGTGGGAGTTAAGATTTACCGAACAACATGAGTGGATTGCAGTACATACCTTGGGTGATTGAATTTTCTTTGCTGGTGATGACTGTTGTTTCTCTGTTTCTTCGTTAGACTTTGGTGATCAGTGCAGAGGAAACTGCATTTACTATGAGAAGTACTATCATGGTCCAATTCCTGTTGCTGGTGGTGTAAAACTTTAGCAGCAATGATGACAAGAATGTCCTTGGTAGCAAATCATCTGGTGGTCTTAGCGAGGAAGTGAAACTTAGATATAAAGGATTACATGGTCATAATACGGGTGTTTTTATCTTACAAGATGATAAACTTGGTTCATTGTCATCCTTCCTCGAATATGCAGATGTTTTCTGGCCACCTCCATCTTGGCTTTATACGGACGATCAGGCAGCTTCTGTTTTTTCTCTCTTTTAGGAAGGTATTATACTAGCTAGTTTAAATTCTATCAATTTAGACGTCACAGTGATATATAGTGCATGCAATGTGATGTTTTTTGGGTTTGCATTGGATAAATTCACTCTTGTACAATAACTCGCAAACTACTCAAGAGATATAAACCACATTAGGTAAGTGCAATGCGATAAGCTCAATTGAGAAGGTACCTAAATTCTTTCACAGTCATTATAAAATTTTGAGTTCCAACAAGATCAAAATCAATACACACAACAAAAAAAAATCAGAATAAAGCACATAAAATCCATTAATAAAAACAAAAATCAATAAAATTACTAAAAAAATCAAATTCTAAACAAAGTCACAAATACCACTAAATTTTAAAAATTATATTTAGTAGTTGAAAATTGAAATCTCATCTATCTTAAGGAAAACAAAAAACGAAATTAATTAAAAGAAGAGATGAAAGAAATGATCTAAATCATTAATTTCATAATTTACGCAAATCAATAAAAATGCAATAAGGAAAAGAAACTGATTCGGAGCATAGTAAGGAATACAATACTCTATTAGTTATAGAGTCCTTGATTAATGAGAAGTATAATAAATAGCTAATTCGTTACTAATTTTTTTTTTTTTTTCTCATTTGGATATTAAATATGTTATTCAATTAGTTAGGATTGTAATTCAACTTTCTCATTCTTAACTGCAATTGGAAAAAAAGCTTTATGATGGAAGCAATGGCTCCTTGGTGTGATCTTCCTATAGAACTTGTTGAAAGAATTAGTAAATTCGTCAACAGCCATATTGATATCCTTCGCATTCGTGCTGTCTGCAGTTCATGGCGTTCAGCATTTTCTTCTAATTTCAAAATCCCCAAATCTCAGTTTCCCATCAAATTACCCATCACTTCTCATTGTTATTTAATTGAATGCACTGTTTATCTTTTCCAACTTCCTCATCCTCCTCACACAGGCTGGTTGGGTAAGATTCTAAAAACCCTAGATGGAACATTCATGATTTTGAATCCTCTAACCAAAAGAGGAATCAAGTTTGTGTCTGATGCTAAGAGATTGAATTTACTAGATTTTCGTGTTTCTCAAGTTTGTAAATCCTATCATGCGAAGTTGCTCTTCAAAGGTGACCTAAATTGTCACCCTTATGCCGGATGGGGTATATTTAAAAAAATCTTGCCTATTTGTAATGATCAAACCACTCATTTTTCTCTAATGGCAATTAATGTTAGGGATCACTTATTGTGTTTTAAGTCAGGGGATGACGACTGGACTACCTTGAAAGATCTCACTCGTAGTAAGATTGTCGATATTAGTGTGTATAAAGGGAATTTTTATGCTGTTGATACTTTTGGAGAGACCATAATGTATGACCCCTTCTCGTTTAATGAGACCAATGTATCTTCCACCGTAAAGATATTATCTTCAAGCTTATTTAACAAATGGGGTAGTAAGAAAAGATTGGTGGAATCAGGTGGGGAGTTGTTTCTGGTTGATATGTTTTTAGATACTGATGTTAAGACGGAGTTGCAAGGTTCTGGACCTTCAAGGAACAATCCCATGGAAATTAAGATTTACCGGCTTGATGAAGAACTGCATCAGTGGATTAGAGTGCATACGTTAGGTGATCGAATTTTCTTTGCTGGTGACGACTGTTGTTTCTCTGTTTCTTCATCAGATTTTGGTGATCAGTGCAGAGGAAACTGTATTTACTATAAGAATGGAGATATAATTGTGGACATCTCGGGAAATGACCTTAGCGAGGAAGTGAAACTTAGATATAAAGGATTACATGATCAACACACAGGTATCATTACCTTACAAGATGGTAAACTTGGTTCATTGTCATCCTTCCTCGAATATGCAGATATTTTCTGGCCACCTCCATCTTGGCTTTTTACTGAGGATCAGGCAGCTTCTAAAAAGTTTTCTCCTCGAATGTTGCCTTTTCTATTTGATACTAGTCATGTAAGCTCATGTCAGGATGAGAAGAAGCTTGATCCTAGACATGTAAGGTCGTTTTAAAAGGTATCAGGGAGGTTTTCAACTTGATACTTACTTGAAATAGACTCTTTGTTTATGAAACTCAATGCCTTTCTGTTATTTTATTCACATGCACTTCAATACTCCATTTAACTAATGCATTCGTTCCTTGATTGACTTGTTTATATTATTAAATGTTGACATCGACAGTTAACGTGCATGCTGCAGAACATTTTTAATATCCTTGATGGTGTTTGTCATGTGCCAATGAAGTTTCCAGATCAATATTGATGACCAAAAGTGTTGGATAACAGTAACGCGAACAAGAATCGTGTATCATGTTTATGTATTATGCATAAAAAGAAACAAATGTAGCTTTTAGGAGTTGCAACTTCCCGCAGATATATCTATTCTATTACGTTAATGTTACTCAATTTGAAGTGTTTGGAGGTATAGTGTATTACTGCTACAAAGTTGAACAGGCTTGGACTCTTCTGTCTCCCATTGGACTCATGCATTTCATCAAACATTAGGATTTGTAGGACAAAAACACTAACATTAAATATTAACATCTCCTTCAGATGTCATTTTTCTTTTCTCTATTATTTTCAACGTCTCCTTTCCAAACCTGTTTTGTATTGCTTGACTTGAGCAGAGGATCTTTCGGTAACAATCTCTCTGCCTTCACAAGGTATGAATAAGGTTTGCGTACACACCACCCTCCCCAGACCCCACTTGTAAAAATTTAGTACCTAAACATACTTCCAAAAATTAAAAAAAAAGTTTAATTTATATATCTTGAACTACACGTGTCCAAGAACTAGTTTATATAATATGTGTTTTTGCCTTTGAGAAGATGAAATTTTACTTGCTTTGTTACATTTTTGTGCATAAGGGTACTCTTGTGCAAGTGCAACATTACATCTACCCTTTTGTGAGACAAGTGACATGCCTTGTTAAAGATGCCTCACCTCGTTGTGCTGAGAACAAAAGTGCCACACAAACTAGATGTATAGTAATCTGTGTGTATGGTCATGTCTTTCGAGTTGAAAGGAAAGTGAGTCTGATAGAGCGACTTAATCTTAATCAAACTCTGTTATCTGATAATTTGCAAGTCATCTTCACCATCTGGCTTGTTCTCCACTGTTTCCCCTTGGCTCGTTTAGTATTCCTACAATCCTACTTCATTTGTATCTAATGGTAGCCATTTGAACCTGTAAGGCCCTGTTGACCTTGTGGCTAATTAGTAGGAGAGTTGAATACCATTTCGTGTACTTAGATACTCCATTTTTATTACGAGTAAAAAGTTACAATTGTGTTTGTTAAGACTCGCTCTTCAATACTTCATTTAGCTAATGTATCTGCTGCTTGATTGGCTTCTCGATAGTAATGTTGAATTCGACAGCAGAACGTTTTTAATAGCCTTGATGGTGTCTGATATGTGCCAATAAGGTTTCCTTTGACAACTTTTCAATTTTCTTCCTTTGTCAGACTTGACTGCAGTTTTATTCAAATCGAAATCAGTGCCTCGATTCAGAAATTTTAAAATCAGTAATCTGTATAAGATGAACTTTTATGAGATCGAGACCAAATAAAATTTAGTGTGCGAGTCATAAAAGAAAAACAAATGATATTTTAGGGTTGCCAAACGCAAGGACTCCAAACAGGCTCATTGTTTTTTGCTTAAAGAAGTTGTTGAAAGATCAGCAAATGCTTCGACAGTCATATTGACAATCTCCGAATTCGTGCACTTTGCAATTCATGGCGTTCAGCACTTACTCCAAATTTAAAAAATCCCCAAATTTCTGTCTCCTGTCAAACTACCTATCCCCAACAACATGACCCGTAGTTATTATGAAAAATCTCAGTTTTACTTTACAGGCTGGTTGGTGAAGATTGTAAAAACAACAGACGGAAAATAGATTTTGAATCCTCTAACTACATAAAGGAGGAGAGACTATCAAGGTTCTGCACTAAATTTGTCTGCATCTGATGTGAATATCTGCATCATAGGGTCTTCGTTTTTCATTTCTGGTTGTGGATCTTCTTTTCCCCACAAAAGCAAGTACAGTCCAATAATGACAATTACTGCTCCAATGATGCTGAAAATGTTTAAGGAGGGTATTATAGTGCATGAATTTGATTCCCTTCTTTCCCAAAGAACAAAATGAAGGCTTACCTGCCCGTGTAGAGCTTTTCACCAAGGACGAAATATGCTAGAACTGCAACTAGTACGGTTGAGAGTGGGTTGAACACAGTTATGAAAACTGGTCCCTTTTGTTCGGTGCACCAGAGTTGTATGTACACTACTAAACCAGACATCACTATGCCCTATTCCAGATATAATAATTCTAATTAAAATGTGCAAGTTCAAAATTGTTTTGGAGAGAAACTATTGGACTTGGACCCTTCTTACCCCATACAAAGTAGACCAGAAATCAATGTTGAAACCCATGGTCCAAGCTGCTCGTTTGTGTTGTACAATTACTGTGTAGAAAGCTGATTGTGCTGCACCAACAAAACTCATCCATGTAGTCAGTGATAGTTGTGCTGGATATCTTTTCAAAGTGTAAGCCTGAAAAATTCCAGTGTCAGCTTGTGTGTGTTCTCTCCTCGGAAACACTAGTTAGTTCCTACATAGATTACTAGGCATATTTCATGCAAGTCTTCCTAATGAAGAGTTATAGTGCAAACCTGCATGATGTACCATATTGACCACGTAATGCAGCTAGCAGCAGTGAGGATCAAGCCTTTTGACCAGTTCTCGTGGACAACACCATTCCCTCTGTGGATGTAGATGAGAGGATGTCCTAAGCTTTTCACAACAGGTCCTTTGTATAATGTCATGCTCATAACCCCAGCCAAGGAAACCAAGGTTCCTACGACTTTTGCTATTCCTCTAGGATTTCGAATGTTAGCATCTTCCAACCTACACCAAGAAAGAGCATTATATGAACTTTGATTGCAGTCATATCCTCTTCATGATGGAATTATATGTGTTACCTGAGAATAACTGCTAGTACAAATGTTAAGGCAGCTATAGTGTTGACCATCGAGGCAAGAAGAGTCGGAGAAGTGTAGTTCAAGCTCACAAAGTACATGTTCAGTGTCAAACTCACTCTGTTATGAAGGATATACTGTTAATATTCCTCATCAAACAACATATGGAAATTTGATGTTTGATAGATCTTACCCCACTAGAGAGAGTACAAATATCTCCAACAGCAAAGCTATAGTTAACTTTGGCCTCGTCTTTCTGCAGAAATCAACAGAAACATCAGAAAAAACTGCATTTCTGCATTGGAGATGACTTTGTGATTTACCTTTCAAGGAAAAATAGGGCAAAGGGGTAGCATAGCAAGACCGGCAACGATATGCCGATAAGTTATGTAAACATGAGGATTCATTCCATGATTGAAGGAAGCTTCAGTTATGAAGTACAAAAAAGTGTAAGCAATTTGAGCCAAAACCATAAGGATGTGAGGCTTGAACCTCTTGTAAGTGCCTATGCTAGTCCCCATAGCTATCAATACTTTTGGACACGTTTAGGATTAGAGAAGTATTGATGAAAAATAATATTGAGTTACCAGCTGAGAAGAGTCCTATTCTAGTTATAATAGGAATCTTGAAAAAGCGCTTATGTGAAATAATTAAAATATTTTAAAAATTAGTTCCATGTAACTAAAAAAATATTTTTTTAAAAAAATATTTAAAAGTTAAATACGGTAAAAAAAAATTCCTACAAAGTTTGATGATCTTTTTAATGAACATTTAGTATAATATATATATATATATATATATATTTAGGTTAAGATTTAAAAGTTCAAAAGGACAAGGTCATGGGTTGGGTCTCCAGAAAAACAAAATGACGGCAATATTAATAAGAGAATTTTTTTAAAATGTCAATATTTTAGCATTTAATAGGATCTCTTAGCTACATTTTCAATATTCATTAAAAGAGTCAATATTTTAGTTTGTTATATATCTGATTTATGTATTTTTTAAATTTATTTATTTTGAAAGAATACAACTATTTAATAACAGAAAGGAGAAAATCAAGGGATAGAATATTTCAAAAAAAAGGTAAGTATCACTTAATTTTCTCATCAGTTATATTTTCAAAGAAAAATCAAACGTGTGCCTTTCTCACAATGTATTTTTGTTTTTTTTCTTCTAGAATTTTGTAACATTTTTTAAATCGTATCATTCCAATATGTATACTATTTGTATTCATTCTAGTTTTCATGTTGTATTTTGTATAATGAAATTTGTATTTTTTTATTAGTTTGTATTCATTCCAATAGGTATACCAAATGAATCTGTAGTTATTTAAAAAACATATTTGTATTCATGTATTTTTTTCACTGTGTATTTATTTTTTTTCTTCAGAATCTTGTATCCTTTCTTAAGTCGTATTCATTCCAATATGTATTTTATTTGTATTTGTATTCATTCTAGTTTTTATGTAGTATTTTGTATAATAATATATAAAATACAAAAAACAATATAATGAAAAAGTGAGAATGAAAAATAAAACTGAAAAGGAATAAGTGAATATTTGTTGCAATCATTCTTAAATAAAATAGGGAAAATTGTATGACATAGCAAATTATTAATTCAAATTAAATGCTATAGCTATAGTTTCTTTTATTTGTAATTCACAACAAACATTTCATGTTTTTTGTCATCCCATTTGTATACCGAAATATACAAATGCAAGATCCATTTGTATACCGAATTATACAAATGCAGGACCCATTTGTGTACCAAAATATACAAATGCAGGACCCATTTGTATACCGAAATATACAAATAGATCCAAATACATATTTTTTTATGTATATGTATACCGAAATATACATATTAATAGTCATAACAAACATAAAGTTTGCTATGGAGCGCAATTATACAAACTATAGCTATAGCATACAAATATGATTTTTATGTTTGCTA